CGTTTTGAAAAATTGACCCTTATGACTTGGTTTTGTGGTCCAGGGTCACATATGCATATTAGTGGTGTATTCTTAACTCATCTGAATGTGTACTTGTGTTGTCGTCAGTAAGCAGTACACAATTTGTGCATTAAAATCTTGTAATGCACACCAAGCCAGATTATCCTCTATTATTTTTTTTTTCTTCAGATTTTTCCACTGGTCTTTGGATTATTGCAGAAAATAAGCTCTGTGACCAACAAAATGCATGATTCTTACACGTTTTGTTCATCAGAAAAAAAAAACCCAACAACAATCTGAAACAATCAAAAACACTGACTTCAGGATGATGGAACAAGAAGCTCTAAAATATTGTTGTATAAAACATTAAAATCTTGTAATGCACACCAAGCCAGATTATCCTCTATTATTATTTTTTTCTTCAGATTTTTCCACTGGTCTTTGGATTATTGCAGAAAATAAGCTCTGTGACCAACAAAATGCATGATTCTTACACGTTTTGTTCATCAGAAAAAAAAACCCCAACAACAATCTGAAACAATCAAAAACACTGACTTCAGGATGATGGAACAAGAAGCTCTAAAATATTGTTTTTAGGTTACAGGCCTACAAAAATACGTGATTGCTGCAGCACTCTATATTCATAATGTGTTTCCTCATTAGCCCCCCTTGCAGCCTTTTTTGACAATTATGTATGACACTGACTTTCTGGTTCTGATCATTTATCCTGTTCATCAGGGACAGCAGAGATGAAGTCTTAGAGCACGGTGAGTTATTTCATACAGCCTCTTGTTGTTTTAAATGTGCATAAATATGTTTCAGTACTTTTTTCCTGTGTCGGTCTATGAAATGTTACTGCATTTCTCGTAGAGCTGATGATTGCAGATAGACATCAGAAGCGTGAGATCAGACAGCTGGAGCAGGAGCTTCCTCGCTGGCAGGTGTTAGTGGACAGCATCACAGGTCAGATTTATTCCACTGGCTTTTTGTATAGTTATCAGAAGAATGTGATTGCGGAGTCTGATTGTGTGATATGATTACTTCAGGCATGAATTCACCAGACTTTGATAATCAGACTCTGGCAGCTTTACGTGGACGAATGGTCCGATATCTGATGAGATCTAGAGAGGTCAGTGAGCATTTAATGTCATGCATGCGCAGGAGTTGAATCTGGCAGTATGATGCTGGAGTCCCTCACTGTATTTACTCAAACCACAAATACATTGGCTTGGGAAATGTTACTAACCATTACCAATACATGCCAACTGTTTAAAGAACTGTTTTTTTTTAATCTTTTGGGGAAAAGGACAAACCACATATATACAGTGGCGCCAAAACATATTTACTAACATACTACATACAATTGCAATTGTAAAAAATGTCTGAAAGTGGATATTGGAGAACAAAATATTGGCTGCACTTCATTTTACAGTTTGTGCCCTTACAGTGTACTTACCCAAGAATGTAATGCATAATAGAAGTGCATGGACTCAACATGGGTTCTGGTTTAGTATCTAGTTATTACCCAGGAATTGTGATTAATATAGTAAAGTACATAGTGTGAAAATACAGAGTAAATAAAACAGACTGTAAAATAAAGTGCTAACAAAATATCTTGTGCTTCCGCTGTACACGCTTTTCTCAGAACCAAACCATGATCTATCTGTTGTTTTAATAAGCAGCTGACTTTTTTTGTGAAATGCGTTTGTGCTATTTAAAAAAAAAAAAAACTTGCTTGAATATTTAGTTATTTAACACAATATGAGGCACAGTTGTTTTAAAGGAAGAGTTCACCCACAGTTGACCGATAACAAACTTTTGAACTGTTTCAGGGACTGTAAAATAAAGTGCTAACAAAATATCTTGTGCTTCCGCTGTACACGCTTTTCTCAGAACCAAACCATGATCTATCTGTTGTTTTAATAAGCAGCTGACTTTTTTTGTGAAATGCTTCACTTGAAATGCGTTTGTGCTATTAAAAAAAAAAAAAAAACTTGCTTGAATATTTAGTTATTTAACACAATATGAGGCACAGTTGTTTTAAAGGAAGAGTTCACCCACAGTTGACCGATAACAAACTTTTGAACTGTTTCAGATCACACTAGGACGTGCTACTAAAGACAAGCAGATAGATGTAGATCTGTCTTTGGAGGGACCTGCATGGAAGATCTCCAGAAAGCAAGGTCAGACGGTTGAACGGCATTATTCATGATGATGCTGTGTGATCAGTCCTGCCCCTTGATGCTAAGTTCAGCTTTGCATCACTAAATTTTATTACAGCATAACCCTTCTTTACTTTTTAAAAGAGAAGGCATTTTGTGATTTACTGCGTGACTTGGGGATTTTGAGCTATCTTCAGCATCCGTTAAACAGTGCACTTTCTTCTACCATCCGAATGTGTATTTTATTACAGCATCCAATTTATGCTTACTGCCGTTACATCAAAGATTTCTATTTACAATAGAGATCAGCTCAAATGTCACCTGAATCCACTGCTTCAAACAAATCGTCCACCCGCACCTATGATTTTCCCTGATATAGATATCCGCACCCGAACGCCACATTAATTATTCTAATGCTTTGTTTTAAGCATGATGATATGGTCAGTGGATCGTTCATTTTTAACAGCAGATTCAGTGACATTAGAGCTAATCTGCACATCTCTGATAGTAAAATAATACGTTGATCGTTAGCTGCTTTTAAATGAACATTTCAAATGTTTGTCTTTGGCCAGATTAGCCTACATTTTCTTAATAAAATAAGCTCAGGCTTTACTCCATTCAGGCTTTATTGGCAATATCGCTGTTTCTGTCACTGCAGCACACAACGTCTACTGCACTGTATTTAGCTGTACTTAATCTTTTATTTTTTTGCCTATCCAGTTAAACTCACTGGATGTGGCGCTGCTCATACAAAATATTGCCGTTCACACAGAACGCATATCTGTCTATCACCGTTAAACTCGCGTCTCGCACAAGAGAGCCGCATGTTTAGAAAGCCATGTAAAATTAATGTAAGTTCAACTTTTAAAAAACATGTCTCGAGACTTTATGCCGATTTTTCTGCATCCCACTGCATCTCATGTTTTAAATGAAAAAAGTGCTCTTTGTTTGTGGTCCTTTGTATTAAACTATACATACATGCATGATGCTCTTTTGTTTCTAATTGTTTAAGCAACATAATTAATTACATATGGTTTACAAACATTATTTTAAACATAAAGCACTTTTTTCAAAAATAGTCGTAATATTTTGCTCGATATTTGCCCTCTTGTGCCCTCAGGAGAGAAGCCAAAAGCTTTTTCTCCCTAACAGAAATTATGCCTTTTAAAGGCACAATATGTAATTTTCGCCGCTAGAGGGTGCATATTCAAAATAAACAAATAGACAAAGGTGTAGTTTGATGTCGCCGTGATTGAGTGTGGAATCATGGGAGTTGTCGTCTTTATCCCCACAGCCGATGCAATCCGACGGGACTCGGGCAGAAATCACGAGTTAATGATTTATTAATGTAGTAGAATGAAGCAGGGTGAGGCTGAAAGCCGTCGAAGTGAAACGAGGCCGCTGAATGAGCGCGACAGACGGCTTGAAAGAAGCGGAGCTTTTATTATGCCACAGTCGAGCGCTTCCGTTGCTTCCGGTCGTGCGTATGTGGGGTAAAGCAGCGCTATTTTATCATACTAGATACATTTGAAAGTTCTGTTATAATGCTACTCTGTGCGGTCGTCACCGGTCTATTAAAACGCACAACATATTAAAGCGTCTTTGGTGTTTCCATGTTTTCTACAAAACAAAAAACGGAAATCGAGGGGTTATGATGTCATTGGCAGGCGACACAATGACACTATAGACACGCTCCGTGCCACTAGTTAAAATTGCTTATTTCTCTGGATTTAAACATTCTTCGAAACATTTGGGATAATGTAAGTACACAAGTCAGCAAAATATATAACACTGTTCTAGTGGTTTTTGGATATTTTAATAAAAAAATCTTACATATTGTGCCTTTAAATTTTAATATAATTCGAATATTGATAATATTTTAGTACAAAATTCAAATTTAGGTTTTCAGCCATTTTGACAGCTCTACTTAGCTCCGATGTTTATTAGTGTTTGGGCCACTTGGAGGAATCCTTTGCCAGAGACAGCATCGAAGGGGTATACATCTAGGCAGCACAGGTCCACACATGCATCCACGATACTAGATTTATCTTCTAGTGGTATTTTTTGCTGTCCCGATGGACGTGAGAACTTAAGGTGCTTGTCTGACTTGACTGGCGTTTCGCTTTCATGATGGACCATATTCGAGGAATCAGTCATATACTGTACATACAGCGCTTCACAGCGGTTGCATACTACATACCCAGCACTTGATTCATCCACGCTAACCATTTGCTAAAACGCTCCCACACGGTACATTTCTTTCTTTCCTTCCTTTTGTTTTGTTTTTAATTCTCCCTTTTTAATTTTCTCTCAGATCTGTTTCGCCTCCATTTATATGCTTTAAGAAAAGAACCCCCCTCCTCCCGCGACACACATATTTTTATAAATGAGAGACTGAAAAATAAGTGCCTGCGTGATGAAAAAATGCATTTAAAACACGTTCATATTTTAGAGAATGTAGTTAATATTTGCATCATTAATCAAATCTTGGGTGTATAATCTTCTACACCCGTGACCCACCTGCAATGAATCAGAATGCATTTTTTTTTAGTTGTACAAGCTAACTAGTTGTTACTGGGCCACTAGTAAGTACGGTGCATGACTGATGCAACACTGCACCGCTCTATGGATTTTAATTTAAACATTTGATGCTTTGAAGTATCACCAGGACTTTTGAATGGCATTGTGTAAACGGGTTGCAATTTTAAAGTAATGAAATAATGTTGGTTTTCTAACTCCCAGGGATCATTAAACTGAAAAATAATGGAGATTTCTTCATCGCTAATGAAGGCCGAAGACCCATTTACATTGATGGTCGACCAGTTTTGTCTGGAAACAAGTGGAAACTCAACAACAACTCTGTGATGGAGGTATGGACACGCTTACATTTGAGACACAAAATCACCGTTTGGAAAAATGACAGCTGTCAAAAAAGAATGATTTACACTGCACATTTTGTATAAATAAATAAATTTTGTATGTCTAAATCTTATCAATATATAATATTTATGAAAATTACGACCATTTTAAGATTTTTTTCAAGACCATTAATTGCATGAAAAATACATAAATTGTTCTTCCAAAAAAATGTAAGCATTGAAATGAAATTCTATTCACACACTAGTTTTAAGCTAGTTTTAAGGAATGCAATATGTATTTGTTTTACGTAATGCCCCGCTCTAAGAGCTATAACTGCTCTTTGTGTGAAATCTGTCTTTTTTTTTTTATATCTGTCATGACTCTCCATGAAAAATCATGGAAATTCATTTGTCAAAGGGGGTAGGAATACTGGAATTTATTTATTGCCCCGGATTCGTTTTTGTATACAGTATAGAATATTTATAGTATCAACGCCTAAATATCAGACAACGGTTTCTATCACGTTCTCCTCTATGTACACACAGTGTATCAGCTACTATTATTATCAATCACCATAAAAAAGTATTATAAGGGATTCCGTTAAAGCTCCGTTTTTATTGTGGAGGCCATTAATATAATTTTGCAACTGAATCACATCCAGATTTTTCAACAGCAAAATGTTTGCAAAAATAATGACAAGTCAGAGTCATGTGTTCAGTCCCTTAAAAATGAATTTCTAGCTCTTGGTTTCGGTTAGACCACAGGTGTCAACTTTGAGGCCAAATGTTGCCCGTGGGTTCATTTCGGAAGCCTAGAAATGAAAAGTCTCAGTTAGTGCTTTCCTTGTGAATATGAACCCGAATAAAGCACACATTTGCAAATAAAGCACCGTTTCCATCCAACAAGTCAAAGAGAACAAAATCATCATTTCCTGAAAAACTGGCACTAAATATCACTAAGAAAATTAGGAGAAGCCACTGAATATAATAATTTTCATATACAAACCCGATTCCAAAAAAGTTGGGACACTGTACAAATTGTGAATAAAAACAGAATGCAATGATGTGGAAGTTTCAAATTTCAATATTTTATTCACAATAGAATATAGATAACAAATTACTTGCGCCTCAGAGCGAGCAGACGAAGCACAGTAAATGCGGTCAGTGCTTTCGGAGGTGGATGCCTGCTGTTTGGGAACGCAGTCGTGTAAGACAATTAAACAGAAATACTTTGATGACAGACTTTGGCTTAAGCATTTCAGAATGACCAAAACAACATTTGAGCTGCTGTGCAAAAAGGTCAGTCCCATGGTTAGTAAAGTTGCGTCATCCCATCGCGCAGAGTCGCATGACTTTTTTGATACACATCAAGGAATTCGCATTATTCGCATGAACTCTTTCGCACAAGTCAAAGACCACCTCAAGCGAGTGTAAAAACGTTTTTGCGAGTTATGGCATTATATTTGGTATTTTCATCACTTGTTTCTGATGTGATGCTTCAAAATGTGCATAAAAACAGGGTGAAGGAAACATAGCTATTGTGCCGGTACCAAATCCAGTCGCTACCAAGGTTATTATAGTTTTGGGTATAGTTTTGATTTATTTAGTTTTCTATATCAAATGATTTTGTTTAGTTTCATTAAAATAACACTGCTGCAGGGAGGCTGGTATTGTTTCATTTTTGTAAAATGTTCATCACACTCATTGCGAAACTAACATACTGAAAATAGCTGTTTTGTGGACCAGTGTGTCATTACATAGTTTTTATAATAAGTCACAATGAACTAAATTTACTGTATTACATAAAATGTCAGAATGTTGTGCCTTAATTCTAATAATGTTATTGCATATAACATGCTCAGAAGTTGTTTGCACAGTGATTCTCTAGAAAGAATGAAAAGCTGGTCAATAACGCATGTGTGCTTGTTTTGTCCAGATTGCAGGTCTTCGCTTTGTGTTCCTGATCAATCAAGAGTTGATTTCTCTCATTAAAGCCGAAGCTGCCAAGATGAACCAGCAGTGATGCTGAAGTCACCAGTTCACGAGCTGTCAAACACCATTCAGAGCTGTACTGTCCTGTCTATACCTCTGAGTAGAGTCATATACAGGAGAACTTTCAGCTCAAGATTATAGTGGCTCTCATAGCAACAACTGAGCCGGGATCTGGAGGAAAAAATCATTTGGAGAGGAATTGGAGATTTATATTCCTGTTATTTAAGGCACATTTGGACAGAAAGAACTGAATGTTTGAGAGTGTCTGTGTGTGTGTGATTTGTAGATTTGCTTTTCTTTTTTTTTTGTATACTGTTACTGTTTTGTTGACTTGTAGATTTTTTGTTTGTTTATACTTAAAACACAGTAACCTTGTATTGTCTCATCAAAGACGGTTTGCTAATATTCTGCCATGACAGAAATAGTGTAAATATATTCATAAAGACTGATTAAAACTGAAAGGTGTTTCAATGATGTATCTGTGTATTGTAATGCAGTGTGTGGTGTTGTATGTTTGTCATTGACTTTAGCAACCACTAAAGATTTTAGAGTCAGAGTGGCAAACTTTGCATGCATCACTTTGGCCCTTGACATGAACTAATGTTGCAAACCCAGAGTGGATACAAGTAACTGACAATGCATAAAAATACATTTAAAGTAAAGCTTCAGATCTAATTATAATGCACAATTACTAACGACACTACAGTTCAACATTTTGGAATATTAGAAAGTTTTTTTTTTATGTTTTGTTGAAGGTGCCATAGAATGGAAAACTGTATTTACCTTGGCGTAGTTGAATAAAACCAGTTCTGTACATGGAACTGACATACAGTGAGCCTCGAACACCATTGTTTCCTCCCTATGTAAATCTCGTGCATGCAAAAGACCACTGAAAAATAGGCGAATCCGAACATAACACCGACTGTGACGTTATAGTCGGGATCAGAGCCATGGAAAGAGAGAGTTGCGTCAACGGAAGTAGAAAACGTTCGATCGTCACGTGATTCACGTAGACCTCAAATAGTTCCCGGAAGTTCATAGCGGGCAATTGAAATACATTGAGTTGGAGAGACAGAACTGTGATTTTTGGTAATTAGTAGACAATAAAATAATTTATTTACATTATTTATAAAATAATGTATACGTAGTATATATATATATATATATAGATGTAGTTATATTAGTGTTGTTTTTAAAAGATAAAATCCTCTAATATTTGAGGATTAATATGGTCAGCTATCCGTACCTGCCTTGTTAACATATTTTTTCAGATCTAATTATAATGCACAATTACTAACGACACTACAGTTCAACATTTTGGAATATTAGAAAGTTTTTTTTTTAATGTTTTGTTGAAGGTGCCATAGAATGGAAAACTGTATTTACCTTGGCGTAGTTGAATAAAACCAGTTCTGTACATGGAACTGACATACAGTGAGCCTCGAACACCATTGTTTCCTCCCTATGTAAATCTCGTGCATGCAAAAGACCACTGAAAAATAGGCGAATCCGAACATAACACCGACTGTGACGTTATAGTCGGGATCAGAGCCATGGAAAGAGAGAGTTGCGTCAACGGAAGTAGAAAACGTTCGATCGTCACGTGATTCACGTAGACCTCAAATAGTTCCCGGAAGTCTTTAGTTACCATGGTGTTTGCTATATAAACGACATAGTTGTCTTCTGCCAATGTAACTTCAGCCTCTCTATATAAATATAATTATGTGTGTGTGTTCTTACAACTTGCTTGTTAGTCAAGTTCAATCACAAATATACCTGTTCATTGTCGTTTTACTAATCTCATGGTAAATGTTAAGTTTGTTGTCTTAGAAAATTCATTCCAAATAAATGGAAGATATTTTATTAAGTGAAAACTAATCTTGTTCAATGTTTTTGATTCTTGTGCACCCCTCGGTTATTAATATATAAAAATATATTTGTAGTATATCCCAATTTAAAACAACTTAAAACATTTGTACACATTTAATCATATATGTTATGTATGTTGACTTTTGTTATGCGCTTATTTACAGCAATCGATTTATACATTTATAATAAACCATAAAGCACGTTGTCCTTGAACAGAAACCGCTATAGTTTGCTGTGCTGCATTATGAGTGCTCGTCACTCACAGAAAGGAGTGTGAATGTATGGTCTCCCTACTGATCTGGAGAGGAGAAAAAAATGATGCATTAAGTTTTGGTTCAATTCACATTTATTTCATCCTTTGCAATATATCTAAGTATATTTAATAACTCCCCACCAGCAAAATCACTTTTAAATTACACAACGATGGATGAAACTGCATGAAGAGAATGAATAACATCCAGTAAATCTACTAATTAAGTGAGGAATAATCTAATAATCATCTGTTTTAATGCACAGGGTAATTTGATTAGCCGTGCTGATAGTATACTATTTTGTTCTATAAATGTCATACCTTTCAAAAGTTCATCACAGCGGTCTCTTCTGCTGCATCTCCACGGCGCTGATAGTATGAGCGCTAACATCCGGGAACTATTGAGCGGCTCCACGATCCGCCATTGCTGTAAAAAACTGCTCCATTGCAGTGAACGGAGTTGTCACAACTCTCTCTCTCTCTACAGCTCTGGTCGGGATCACTGATAGTTACGCCCCCAATATTTGCATATACCCGCCCATGTTATATGCTAGCCGTTTCAATGCCCTGCATATTAATAGCGACCCCCTAATGCCCGCATTTTATATACAGTATAATTACCCAACGATATAACTGCCAGAGAAAGTATTGAAATATATATTTTTCTTCCTGCTGGGCGAGCTACTGAAATGAGCCGCACTGTGAAACAGCCAATCAGAGCAGAGCTCAACATTATTATTCATGACCCTTCCAAATAAGGTAAAAACAGACCTTTTCATTTTAGGGACAAATCTTAGGGTTGTAAATGGACATGCAAAACCCTTTCTGGAGATTTTTTGCCCTTAAGCCACATACAATTTAAAATATTGTATCAATGCATTCTATGGCACCTTTAAGAAGTCACAATAGCTGCATTAATTTGGCGAATAATTTATTAATACAGTTATACTGAATTTTATTACAATTTAAAATAATTTTCTATTTGAACACGTGACACTGAGGACTGGGGTAATGACTAATGAAAATTCAGCTTCGCATCACAGAAAGAAGTGATATTTCTTTGAAAATATATTCAAATATTAAGTGAAATTGCAATAATATGCTTTTACTGTATTTTATGTATCAAATAATTGCAGCTTTGGTGAGAATAAAAAACGGTTGACCTGCAGTACCTTGAACATTCGACTATGAAATGTTCCAGAAAAAGAAAATGACAAATGTGTGATACTAAAATGAGCTGAATTATTATTATTATTATTGTTTTTTTTTTTTTTTTTGAAGAAGAAGATAGCCGTGTTTGCATTGCTGCAAGTTAGTCTGTTAGTTTTCGGTCAAATGATTTACAAAAGCAGAAGAAAGTCCAACAAAGGACACCCCGCTGACAGCAGCAGGTAGAGCCGACTGAGCACTTTATTATATAAATATAATCGGAGAATCTGATGTGTTGGGATGGTGTAGCCACAGTAAGCGTGCAGCTCGTGACGATGCGGCTGCGTCCACGTCACACTCGTGCGTCTCGTCAAGGTTCCAAGCGGCTCGAGACGGATCTGGTTCTGTAGATCCCCATCAGCTCACGGCCGAGAACTGCAGGATAGTTACAGTAAGATCGCAACTCTTCTGGCAATCTATACATTGGGAAATCGGTAGTGTCTGGAATTCAAAGCAACGCAGTGTGTGTGCGCGGTTTTGTATTTTTAGCCTGCTGTATACAAACGATTCGATCATTTTCTAATTTAATACTAATTATTTCATTGCCATAACACAAATGCACCATTATTGATTATTACATGATTTCACCATTCCTTGTTTACAAAAGCATATGTTTGAGTATTTGATTGCAAACTAACTTACTGCACATGTGGCATAATTATGTTGCTTATCAAACGGCAGCTTTTTTATAACACATGCATGTTAACTTGCTTAACCAGTCAAGGACATTTAACTCTCCCAAGTTACTAGAACCTCCTCGGTTTTAAAAACCATGACCAGTGAAATGAAACCAAAACCAGGTTTAATTCATTTCCACCCACTAAATGACAAGTGAGGGTGTGTTAGACGCACAGGTCTAGAAAGATCCACACAGTCACAGAATAGCTACTGTAATATTTCCAAACAATTGGTTGGACTTCTTTTCCAGTAAGACGTTTCTTGTGGGAAAAACTAGGCCTAAGTATTCGACTGCTCACTATCTTTGCAAAACAGTTACAGAAGTGTGGCAAACCTTGAATGAACAGTTTTTTACAGTATTGCACCACATGCCATCATTTTAATCCATTGTAAAGCCTAATAATAGTAGCATAGTTGGCTTTAATGTTGATGGTTATAAATCAGTAAGCTGAAATAAAGTCAGTAGGATTTGTTATTGGTCCCTTTTAATGAAAAGACTGAGAAGATTCGACATTGTTGGTCCTAACAGCAAGGTTCATGTTTTCTGTACACAAGAACTGCATGGACCAAAACAAGTGTCTTATCCATTATGACGCAATCATGTCAGTCCAAATATTTGAGCAACAGTGACTCATTTCAAACCCTTTTTGGTGACTGTTTGGTGGCTTGTTTACAACAAGGCTCTACTTTCATGTTTTTATTTCCAAGAGATTTTCTCTATGCATGAAGTTTATTTCTGCTAAACCCTGCTGTCCCTCTTCTTATCATGTGCAAATACATGTTAATGACCGATCATAAACTGTTTTAAAGCCAGTAGCTCATGCAGTGCATGTATCGCTGATATGAAGCTAATAGACTGCAATCCTAAGTGAGGTCTGGGCTGATATGTAATGTTGGAGTCAGTAAATAGATGTTATGATGTTTATTTGGCGTAATAAATTTTGAGGTGCATTGAGATATACAAAGTTTTAAGAGATTAGAGATTTAATTCTCTTCTCTTTGGTCACTTTAGGACCAAATGACATTTAGGACAAGTTTTTTTTTTTTTGGTCATTACCCAGCAGGCTTACATGTGGTTGCAGTGATAAGACAAATGTTTAGGTTTAATGAGTCATGATGGTGGTTAGTCTGAAAAGATCCATGCAATATGTTTTAAATTCACCAGATGTCTCATATTTAATACATTGCTGCACAGAAAGTGAAAAAACAAAGAAACACACATAAAGATGCTTGCCGATGCAGGGGTCTTTAGCTACTAACGTTTTCCAGACAAGAAAAAACATGTCCTGTGTACCTTGTACCTTGCGTTTTGATAGTTTAACTGCCCTGCATCATGTATTTTTCAATGCAGTGATCATGTTCTGTGTTAGTGACTTCTTTGACGACTTTTTTTGTCCCATTGTTTAGAGAACTGACTGCTTGCCATTAACAACAGTCTTGTATTGTTTAACTAGTAACTAGCTGCCACCATGTTATTACAGTTTCAGGATACAGTCACAACTCGCTTTCCAATGATGCATTGTGCTATGTAGTTAATCAGCGAGTTGCAAGGATGTCCGAGATGTTTCTAGCCTTTCATCCGTACTGGTGCCCAGAGAAGTTGGTCCCCTGAACCAGTACTGAAAACCGCTGCCCTACAGCATGTGTCTTGAGACTTGAGGTTAACTTCTTTTAACCTGACACCGCAGAGAATGCGAGACGTGA